CGGGTGCGTGCACCCAATGAGATTGTTTTTGGTATAAAATGCAAAACCCGCCCCCACATAAAGACTGCCCCCTCTAATATTGAATGTTCCCAAAACATGATAACAGACCACAATAAAAGAAAATATCTCATTAGGGGGTCCGTGGGGATTTGAATATTGAGAAGAGGCGGTTATCCCCAAAAGCAATACCCAAGCAGCTTGTGCACAAGTACCGATGCACGCGCTGCAGGCGACGACATTGGGTGCTGGACCTGCCTGCCAGATGTCCCATTTTCAGCACTTACGTAGGAGATTGGGTCACTCTCCTCGACAGCAACAGTTACCAAACAAGGAAATACGAGTTATCGTGGACCCAGTAAAGACCCTGTAAAGGACGGGTACTGGGAGAGGGAATGACTCGACATAGGAGATTATAGAATGACTGGCTTGCATTCATGATATCACTAGACTTCTTCAATCATCGGCAATATAACTCCGCGCCCCTGACGATAAAAGCCATTAAACGCACTGTGAGGCTGCTGCAGCAGCCCCCGTTGCCGCAGGCGCTGCCGCAGCCACATCCCAGAACAACAAACCATTGCGCTACCCATCACTAAACAAGCAGGTTTCAATTTTGATTTCGCTACATGCCCCCGAAATACTGCAGCTTGTGCCAGTGGCGTCTTGCAGGCGGACTGACCGTGTCGAAGCCACAACGCCTTGTGCAAAGCTCACCAAACGCCGGAAAAGTGGATCCCGTAAGGCCAAACTCTCAACTTATATGAAGAGAACTCATGGTTGAAGAATGACCACAACTGCCTGCGTCATGGACTGAAGAAGCTCCACGGCGCTCTCCCACTGCCCGATGGTGCATGTCACGGTGATAACGCTTGCGAGCACCTGGCAAATTGGAGCATCTTTTCTGAAACCGAGGATCATCTGCCGCAATATAGGATTTGCCTAGGCCCTTTCTTCCAACAACTAGGTGTTGGAGTCTTACAAAGTGTTAGGCTTGGAAGGGTTCTTTGGATTGTGGGACGCTTCAAGAACAGGAGTTCCATTGAGAAGGATGCATAAATCTAGACCCTAAACCCTGAAGGTTACATGAATTTAGATCCTCCACCCCCAAGCCTCCACCTAACCCTAGCGGTCCCAGTACCAAACAATCAAGAACAATCAAGTAGTTGGGATTCGGGTAATTACTTGAAATAAAATGTGTAGCAAATACTCGGGATTTGGGTTAGATTAATTGTGCTACAGATGTTTTGGGCAAGTACACGGTCATAGGGCTCGTAGGGTAGTTGTGCTAAACCTAGCTGGAAATGCAGGCACGCGTCGCCATGTCTAGCCATGCAGTCAATCACCTCCATCGCTGATTGCCAGCAACCATCCAACCTCGTAGTCGCATTCCAAAATGGAAGCCCTAGGCCCCTGGTATGGGCCGTTGACCCTGCAATCCTTGTATACCTACTACATACCCTATTCTGGGGCACATAGTTTTAACCTTAGTGAGATTTCAGTCTTTGGGCTTTAGGCGGGACCCTTCATGGGATCAGGGTCCCTTCTAGGAGGGTTTAAAAGGCACACAAACGTCATGTGGAATTCCTGTATCTGATCTCTAGATGCGCCTAGAAAAGTCCTTAGTTTCCCGAGACTACCGCCTTATAGAGGTGAGCGGATGAAGCTTTGACCTTCAGCTGGCCGCGTTGGAATATGCAGGCCACTGCAACTCTAGAGGAGCACGTTCGGGCTCATATTCCTGATTCCGGGCCCCAACCCCAGATGATGAAGCAGCCACATCCTCATGGATTCTACAGATTTCTTTTGGACTGCTGGCTACAATGCTGTAAGAGTCAGGGGGCGAAACATGGCTCAGTTGATCACCCTTTCTAACCAGCGCGGATGCAACAAGCCCCCCAAAAAACATGCTTACCAGTGGCTGGAAGGCATGCGCTGCAGCCCCGAAGTGAAAATCATTGACTTCAATGGCGACCTCCTTCATAACCTGAATCAAAAGACTCAGTCCAAATCGGGCATGACGGATTGGCTTGAATTTGTGCAGAGAGTGGACCCGTGAAGAGCCACTTTTTGGCACTGACGGGCACATCGGCAGCTTTTTAACAGGACCCTTTGAACTGGGCATGCCGCACCCTCAACCACAGAAACTCAACTATGCTGCGAATGCTAGGCATTGAAATGGAACAATAGCGACTCTTACCAAACCCATCCTTTCTGGGTAGTACTGTAAAACCATGTTTGAGAATAGGTTCGCTCATTCAACAATTAGGAGTATTCGGACTTATTGGCCTCAAAGGGCCATCTAGTTCTCCATCACATCATCATCTTCATGGTGTGAGCATTCTCAACCAAAGGGTCACTTCATATACCCCTAAATGTTGATTTCCTGATTCCTCAGCGCCCTCAGCTAGGTCCCTGATTGGAGTAAACCTAAACCAAGGCAACACAATAGCACTCTATACCTGTATGGTCCCCCGTGAGCGTCAAGAGGCCCTCATCCTTACGCTTCGCGGGGCTCTGGGGTAAGTTAGTAAGGGGTTAGGGAACATACTTATACAGGAACACGCATCAAGAGGATATAGCATAAACATTGCCAATGTCCAGGGTCCAAGCAGAGGCACCTGAAGGAGCTCCATACAGACCCGCGCCGCACGAGCCTTCGGAAAAGGGAATGTAGGGACAATTATTTAGTATTTAAGGTCTAGAATATTTGGGCCCCCTATTTATGGACACAGACATGTGAGTTTCTCAAACCGTCGTGATGTGAGCTCCCCAAATTAAAGCTAGTACCCGAAATCACACCCATACTTGTGTGCAACCTGCACGCATGGCTGCCTTTCAACTTGCCGGCGCGTAACGGATTGAACATGGTTGGGCTCTACTTCAGTCCACACTACGGTGGCCTGTGACATCTCATCTGAAAAGATGGTACTGCGAGTGGAACCAAGCCCCTGCACGACCTACGATGTGCATGACTCACGGTCTTGGGCTTATTGTAGGTCGAATTGCCCAAACAATAGAAGCAAATCTAATAACACCAATTGGGAAGCTACAAGGAAACTAACTGCGTGCCTAGCCTATGAACCCTTTCTTTGCTGTGGGAGGTCGTGCAGGGCCTTTTCCATGAACAGTAGTGTCCCCCCGCGGCTTTCGGCAGGAGAAGTGGGTCGGAGCTAATGTGCCTTCGGCGCGATCCTGTATTCAAAGGGGAATTTCTCAAAACAAAAAGCCACAGAAAAACGCCAACATACTTAAGACTTTGGAGAGTAAACCAAGGAGTGCAAGAAGAATGCAACCGCTAACTCTGGGCAAGCTTTACGTACGTATGTATGTATGTATGTATGTATGTATGTATGTATGGATGGATGGATGGATGGATGTGCGTATGTATGTATAGATGGATGTGCGTATGTATGTATCTAATGTATGTAATGCATGTCTGTATGTATGCATGTATGCATGTATGCATGCATGCATTTGTGCATGTATGTATGTATGTATGTATGGATGGATGGATGGATGGATGGATGGATGGATGCATGGATGGATGTGCGTATGTATGTATAGATGGATGTGCGTATGTATGTATCTAATGTATGTAATGTATGTCTGTATGTATGCATGTATGCATGCATGCATATGTGCATGTATGTATGCATGTTCATGTATTGGGCTTGTGTTGAGAACCCCCAAAATATCACGGTTGCCTCGAGCTCCGCTTAAGCTGAAGGCCTTTGCACAGGAGCAACTACAAACAACTGCTCCTGGTCTCTGGTTCCTTATCATGTTGACTATGATGATGTTATGTTCTAGTTGGGTGTTAATACTTACACTTTGAAATTGTGGCCAACGATGACCCAGGTCTGTTGCCACTCGTTGAACGAAGGGTCATTGCGGCGAGTATGACAGATTATCCTAAACCCTAAATCGGTTTGTGACAGGCTTTCCAGGAGTCATGGCGAAATGGTAGCTTCCACGTCCCTACAAAACCCTTATGAAATACTCCCTATCTAACCTTGGTTTCCATTTCGTTTTTCATTTAGAAGTTCCAATAACAAACGCTTGTCGGGCCATACTCCTAAGCTACTTGTTGGTGAGCAGCGCTGCTCCACCTTGTCCAGGAAACCGCTGCGACTAGCTGTGCAAGAAATCTAGAGGGAAGAAAGCGACGATGGGATGCCCAGACGTGACCTGCTATGGTGCACCGACATGTTCGTTTGCGAGAGATGCTTGGCCAAGCTGCGTGCCGGTGAATCCTCGAGCTCTCGCGTGCGCACGAGCTCTTGATTCAGGGATGGAAGCTCCTCCAGCTCGTCTGGAGGCACATTCAGACTTTGGAGTGCGCAGTTCAAGCGCTTCTCTAATCGAAACTCCATCGCTCTCATGCTCTCCAGCACCTTAAAGATGGACCGCTCTTTGGCATGTCCTGACTCGTCCTGTAGCATTGTCAGGAATTGGCGATAGAGAATCACCCTGTCATTATCCGGCGTCCTGTAGCTGGTGCAATACAGGATCTCTACCAAGTCTGCAGGGTGTAACCCAGAAGCTTCACACAGCTCGGCCTGTAGATTCGGATCTGATAGGAGGCTCAGCATTTCCTTTTCCGAGATCGAACCATCCTGGTCAACATCCATCTGGTGGAAAATCGTCTTGATCCTGCGTTTGGCCCTCTCCTGGTTTTCTAGATGCGCCTTCTTGCGGTCCTCTTCCTCCTTTACCCTGGAGGCACTCATCATATTGTCTGAGACCACCGAGGTTAGGATAGCAAGCATCATCCAGTTCGACAGCATCATGAAGGTGTAGAAGAGAATTTGTCCGGTGACCGTGGTAATGATAGGCTCAACGACTGACTGGTCATCATTCATCAACTTGAAGAGTGCCAAGAAGGAGCGCCAGACAGTCCCAAAGTTCTGCACCGCTTCATCTGGAATGTCCGTGGGATCGCTGTATATGTACCCCTGACCTACCAAAGACGTGAACACAAGAGCAGCAGAGTAGAGGAGCAGAAAAGTCAGCATGATGACCCATCCGACGCTTGCCAGCGACTCCACCACACCGTTGATAAGCTTGTAAAGCTGCTTTACACTCCTCAGCAACCGGGCCAAACGAAGGACTCGGAACACGCGAGCCACTCGCAAGCTCCTGACCAAAGGCATTGCAACTGTTGAGCTATGGGCAGAACCCTGGATCAAGCTCTGAAGGTACTGGTATGAGGGAATCATCCATTGCTCAAAGATCCCAAGCATGACGATGCCGAAGTCCAGGTAATGCCAGGTCCAGTCTTCATGCACAAAATAAGCCCAGCCATGGTAGCCTACCCTCACGGTGAGCTCAAAGGTATACAGTACAAGCAGTACATGTTCGAGCCACTTCCATGCCGGAATGGGGTAATCCAGCTCCAGCCACATCACTATGGCATTCAGCATGATCACCTGGGTTGCAGTTAAGGAACTATAAGTTACTATGATAAGGAAACCCTATTCTTTACAATATACGCAACTTATGGTAACTGACACCACCCACCCTACTGTATATGCCCACATCATGGTAACTTAGTTTACGTAAGTTCCTTAACAGCAACCCAGCCACCCCCATCATGAAGCTCTCGAAGGCTCGGTGCTCTGTCCATGACAGATCCGATTGCACCAGATATCCTCATAGTCGTCCAGTTTCGCTTACCAAAGGTTAGCCCCAAAAAACTATTATAAAAAAGGCTAGATCCTGGCCCCATACTCCTTTTGCAATACTAGGGGCCCATGACTTCAACCTCAGAAAATACCCCCAAACCCTGCTAAGCCCTAAACCCAAGTTACAGGTTATATTCCCCCTTAAGTAGATAGGTATATTATTGGGTTTATATAGGGATAATGGAAACGAAAATGGAAACTACTATTTAGGGTTTAGGGTACCCCTTAAGTAGATCGAATATGGCTTTGGGTACATTATAATAAGATCCCCATATACCCCATATTCTATCTACTTAAGGGGGACTATATCCACTGGACAGCTCAGCATCGGAGCAGCTTAAGTCCTCGCGCCACACGGGCGAGTCTTAGGAGCCGTAGACCTGGTAGCTTCCATAGGGGTTCAAGGTTTACGGCCTAGGGTTCAGGATGTGTAGGGAACCGTAGGGATATAAAGGAACGGATAAGGATATGCAGGGTTTAGGGTTCAGGGGTTTCCATGAATGGCGGGAGTCCACTATTTGTGGTCCTGCGCTCTGCGTTCCCAGC